CCTGATTCCGAGAGATTTCTGCACCCATAGCAATCATTATAATTATTAGGGAAACTATCGCAATTATATTCTGAGTCATTTTAAGATCTTTGTTGATATAATAAATGGATGTAGCATTAGATGTTGAATTACTTTCCAGAAAATCCAATGTATTGTTTTCCATGTCGTATTCACTACACCAAATTTAAGAAATAGAATTATACATTTGCTTGAGTTGTAACTTTCAGTATCTACAGTATCTTTTAAATATTTATGCTTATCTCTTATTAAATAAGTTCTTGCAAAGATGATGATGATAATGAGGATGCGTGGAATATTAAAAAGTGCACAACACAAATACTGTTTTATTATTGTAATAAATATTTTTCTAGTAAGGTTTTAAAATCTAATTAATGAAGTTATTAGCATTTGTTTTGGCTCTGTGAAACAAAACAATACATTTAGTATAAATTCCTGTATATTCTGAAATAAATACAATTATAAGCATTTAAGTCAATTACATAATTATTAAAATGAATGTTTTATTTTCAGTTTTTTCTTTGTAAAAATTATCTAAAAATACTTCTTAACAAGACATTAAATCTTTTGATATGTCAGCTTGGTGAGTCTTAAGGTAAACTCACAGTAGGGAGAACTGACCAGCATTGGGGGAAGGGTGGACAAAGAAAAAATTTCCTTTCTCATAAGTTATGAAGCTATTAAATCCATTTTGAAAAGCACAATTAATTTTTGCTTCTTTCTTCTATCACGGCAGATTCGGCTTTAATATGAGTGCTAACGAAAAATTACATAAGCCTAATTTACGACATTATAATTTATATGTATACTTGTATATATACTGTATAAATTTATATATTTCCTATAAAAATAAATATTTAAAACACAAAGATGTTATGAAATTCTAATTTTACGTACCTTTTCCTTCGTACAATAGGTTAAAATGTTTCGTAAAAATAAAATTTATGTATATGTTACATCATATATTTGACATAGAATTCAATCGTGCAGAAAAATTGTATTACTATTATTAAGTGACTATTTTTGTTTTGTCATCAAATACAATTGATATTATTTCGGAATAATATAATTCGTACTATAAGAGCTTAAGAATAAAGCCCTTTTCTCTTTTACCCTTTTCCTTCTTCTTAATCGAAAATGAATATGTGGGAAAAGTTTTCCCTTTGCTTGTGGAAATACATACGAATAGAAGGAAAAAGCAGAGAACACTAGCATTATAGCAGCTTAGTTATTGATCCATTTTAAATTAGTTTTAATTTGGCTTTTTTGAAATTATTATAAGTCATCATTATCACGTTGCAGGCCATTAAAATTTGCAGAATGCCAAGTTCGGTAACGAAGATTACACAATGTACTGTACAATTTAGAATATCAAAGAGATAACCTTTTTGATATTCTTTTATAAATCGCATTTTTTATACAAAAAATTTGACCTCTCGTTGACCTACTAGCCTGTAACAAAAAAAGTTAATTTTATATTGTCATTATGCTGTTATTAATTTGTTGCGACACACAACTTATACACATTCAACAGCAGACAACGAAGCGAAATGAACTCATTTTTTTTTATTTAATATCGTCAATTTAATTTCATATAAAAAATATAATACAGTAGAACCTCGATTATCCGGACTAATTGGGGATGAAGGTAGTCCGGATAAGGAAAAATCCGGATAATCGAAATAAATACTTTAATTTATCTTTT